TGTCTCTACACAAAAATAAGAAAAAGTAGCTGGGTGTGGTGGCGTGTGCTTGTAGTTCTAGCTACTCAAGAGGCTGAGGCAGGAAGATCACTTGAGCCTAGGAATTTGAGGTTACAGTGAGCTATGATTGCGCCACTGCACTCCAGCCTGGGTGACACAATGAAACCCTGCTCATAAAAACAAAACAATAGCAGCTATCACATTTTGTAATTATACATTTATTTGCAATGATTTTTGTTTGTTTAATGTCTTTACCACTAAAGAATAAGATCTTTGAGGACATGGAGTACGTCTATTTGTTTATCCTGGTATCCTAGCCCAGTATAGGCACATAGTAGACTCTTAATAAATATTTCTAAATGAATGAAATAATAACATAAGAAAATGTTTATGATAATGTTAGGTTAATCAAATAGTATTGTACAAGCAATTATAAAAACAAGCAAAAAAGCCTACGCATAGAACAAAATGGAAGAAAATACCAAACTGTGAAGTCATTGTTTGAATTATAGGTTTCAGAATGACTTTTTTCTACATTTGCCTATATTTTCCAGATTTCCTTCATTGAACCTTTAACATATATACATATAAAATACATATAAATAAAACATATATAACCTTAGGTGTTACCTGAAAAAAAAGAAAAGAAGATATTAAAATAAAAATTAAAAAAAAAAAAAGAAAAAGAAAACATATATATAAATAAAATGGAAAACACATAATAAAACAAAATGGCCTGAGGAAAAGTCAGTTGATCCCTGAGGGCTTTGGAGAGGAAGAGGCATGTGGAGGTTCTTGTCCAATGAGGTCTAACCAGCTGTGGTCTGGTGTACACTCTCTCGGATCCTTTAGATACACAAGGTGTCATGTAAAGGCTGACAGGCCAGTCTGACTCAAAATATAAGGAATGGAGCCCACTTAACAAAGGCCACAGAAAAAAATAAGAGGTGGAGTCATATTCTGGAACAATAAGACATCATTCTTTAAAATGTAGCAATCAACCAAAGGGAAGTTTTTATTGAGCTAAAGCTTGAAAAGAAATGTTGTTCTGTTTCATCCATAACTACATAGATTGATCAGTTATAATCATCTTGGAGAAAGTCATACATTTTCCAAGATGGGGAAAGTGGACACAGTCAAAGAGGACACAGTGAGTGAATGTCACAGCTAAATGCCAAGTTAACAAACCATACTTCTGTGGTCATTTATGTTGTTCATGTTAATTTTTTACACAAGCACTCAGTTTCTGCCTTGATTATAACTCTGAATAAAGTATATACATATTTCAAAAATTTTGTTTTTGATACCAAGGAATTAGACTAAGGAAATACTTTCATGTACTCACAATTCTTTAAAAAAAGGATACAGTAGTATGTATAAAAAATGAATTTTAAGATTAGAAATAATAGATGTTCAATTAATCTTAGTTGGAGACAATATGCTATCTATAGCGTAATTTTCAAATTTTTAATTTTTCTTTGATTGACATTAATTGGAATTCTTTCAGGTTTACACAAGTTCATAATATCTTTAGTATACATCTGTGATAACTAGAAATGGCTATATTTTTCACTATAGACTCATTGGCCTGGAGACTAATTAGGAAACAAATGGAACAGGTTCTTTAGAAAGATGTGAAACTGGTAATGGAAGTAAAATGGAAGCAAAGTTAATAGTAGCTAATGATACCTAATAGAAGATAATTTTTTTTCAGAGACAGGATCTCGCTATGCCTCCCAGGCTGGTCTTGAACTCTTGGCCTCAAGTGATCCTCCTGTTCCGCCTCCCAAAGTGCTAGGATTATAGGTATGAGCCACTACACCTGGCCAGAAAATAATTTTTTTCAAAAATGATATAATCATAACTTTCATACAGAGATAAAATGTACACATCAAAACGTTCATGTAGCTCATTAATTAATGAGGGAATCAGTAAGATGTTATAATCAGTTCAAAGCAGTATTCAAAATACCAGACATAATATAGGCAGTCAAGAATGCATAAATAAATCTGCTTCATAGATGTAAAACTGGCAAAACTGGTCAATATCCACAGAACAATAATCAATTGAATCTCCACTGGACACAATTTACACATTTATGGACAGGAATAATTTGCATTGCTGTGAATATTTCACAATTTACAGAGTAGCAAAATAGTCCAAAGACAATGAAAGATGCAAAGACCTCATAGAAGCAAACAATCTGGACAATGTCTAGCTTTCCATTGGAGACACCCAGTAACATTTTTGGTCCATTTGAAAAGTCTTTTATAATGTTTTCCCTACATAGCTGACTTGTGTTGAGTGCTTATGATAAGGCAGGCACTGTTGTAGGTGTCTTAGATATATTAACTCATTTAATTCTCATAGCCACCTTATGAGGTAGGATAAAATGAAGATAACCTTATCTACATTTTATAGGTGAGAGGTGAGAAAACTGAGGCACAAGAAAAGGTAGGTAATTCATCCAATATCACTAAGTAGTTGGAGGTAGGGCCAGGATGGATATGAATCCAGGTAGTTTTGTACTAGCTAAGCTGCCATGGATATACAAAGAATTAATAGCATTTGACCAATTAGATTACAATAGGAGGGAAAACGTAAAGATGAACTTCAAAGTGTTTCCACTGGTTGATTTTGAGAAAGCGGACACTGTCCAAATAAAGAGACTAAAAAGAGGGGTTGGTTTAATTTGGTTTTTAGACATATGGACTTTGAAGTAATGGTAAGATATCTGGATGGAAAAATCCAGTTGGGCAGGAGATAAGAATTAGAAATGTGGATATATATATTTTTAATGGAGCAGGTTTAAATTGGGTGTTCAAAACATTAACACGTGTCTGTCACAGCCAAAGGACAGAAGCCCAGAGGGAAGAGAGGATGTTATGTAGGGAGGACTGTAGTTCTGCTACCACATAGGAGGAAGAGAGGCAGTCTCAGGGAGTAAAACCAAAGTTGGGTGAATTGGTTAGAGTTTCTACATCCAGACAACAAGGTGCTCTCCCTTGGGTTTAAGCAATAACAGGAGTTGGAGTCACAATGGCAAAAGACCAGAGTTGAGGCAGAAAGGTAAATAAAGATCACATAATGGAGAAACTGTATAGAAGCATAGTTAAAGGCTGTCAAGTAGGGAAGGGCCATTATCAGATGTACATTTTAGAAAGAACCAGTCTGCCTGCAGCATGAACAGTTTGGGCAAATATGGATGCAGGAAGTGTCAGTGGGATCCAGGGATAGGTAGCTGCTGGCTTGGACTAGGCCATTGGTGGCAACTAGATACAACTCTAACAATGGAGGGTCTGAGGGTAAGAGTACCAAAGAAGGCCAACATACCATGTGAATAAATATTTAAAAGTTAGAAATCAAGCTAGTAAACTGTAAAAAAGTCTATCCTCCTGCCTTGATAAATACATCTTCATAAGGACCTGGAAGGTAAGGTTTAAACTGAGAAGTTTGACTCCTTAGAGTTCCATGCTAGACCTTGGAAGCCCAGAAGAGCAGGCTCTGGCCTATGGCCTGCCCCACTTCTCCTCCATTCCCAGAGAAGACTTTAGAATAATACAGCTATTTTGAATGTTTGAATCTTACCTGAGTCCTTACTATTTATGTGAAACCAGGCACTTCATCTTCTACAATTTTCACTGACTGGCATTAGGGATAGAGCAGGAAACAAAATAATTACCCTGTCCTCATGGAACTTAGCCTGTAGTGGGAGAAACAATCAACAAGCAGGTGAGCTATAGGCGGTGGCTGATCAAGGCTTAAGGTGTTGATTCAGGGATCTTTGTGTTTTTCTCCTGGAAGTGTGAGGTGGCTGGCCTGTGGTTCTCCACCAGGGCAACATTACCAGAGACCTTTGGGGATGTGTGTGTGGGAGTCTGGTGGTGTTGGAGCTCAGAAAACAATACCCCAAATTGAAGGCCTTAGATTTAGCCTCAAAAGCAGACGTTTTTCTCTGATCTTCTCCTGCCCTCCTGTTTCTCAGTCCCATTCTTCCTCCCCTGCCACCAGGCTAGCCATAGAAACTAGAATCCCCCTTCCCCAAGGCAGATCAAACCCTTTTTCCCCAAAGCCAGCCATAAAACCTAAAAATATTACCCTAATTTCCCTCATTTTTCTGTATAAAAACTGGCCATAAAAAAATTATCTGACCTACATTGGTTTGACTGTAGGTTTTAAGAGCCCCATTCCAGAGAGGGTCTTGCTCCACACCCTAAAGGAAGGAATATATACTCAGAGAGGCCAAGAAGAATCTATTAATAGACGGGCCTTACTAGGGTCCCCTACTCAATTCATTAGTATTAGATCATACCCTTTTCATCCAGTTATATTTATACACAGCTCTCCATACTTTTTTGAACCTAAACATAAAGACGGCAATCCCCTATATCTTTGGGTCTTCATTCTAAAGGCTCCCATGTATACACATTAAATTTGTATGCCCTTTTCCCAATTAATCTGCCTCTTGCTAGCTGATTTTTTCAGCGAACCTTTCTTCAGAGGGCAAAAAGGAATCTTCCCCTTTGCTCCTCGAGTGTTCACCATGCCGGGGTGAACTCTAGGTATGGCAAATTCCAGCCACGCACGGGACCTGGGACTGTGCTGTGAACCCAAAGTGCCAAGGGCGCCTCTGTTGTTGAGACACAGTGTCCCTGCTGAGAAACAGAACAAGATGTTCCGCTCTCGTGGGGACATCAGGCGTAGGGGTAGCAAGACGTAATTTCGGCAGTCACTTCTCTCAGAAGCGGGCGCCCAGCGCTTCTTGCAGGCGTTCTGGGGACGTCTGTGGATAGAAGCAGGGGTTTGAGAAGCCCGGGAGGGATCGGCTGGACGTAGGCGCGGCTTTCCTGGAACCAACGCCGAAGAGCGCCGCGGCAGCCCAGATGCAGAGAACCACAGCGACACCTGGCTCTTCTCCCAGCGGAGTCCCGGGACCGACCTCCCGCGAGTGAAAGGCAGGCGGCGGGCACTGCGGGGGCGTGGCTGCGTGCCGATGGCGCGGGGTCAAAGGGCACGCGGCGCGGGTGTCATGGCGGCCTCCATGCTGGGCTCGGCCGGGGACCCGCTGGGGCTCGGTGTCTCCAGCCTGTTGCGTCGCCGGCCGCCCTGGGGTCTGCGCGCGCGCGTGCAGCGGATGCCTGGGCCCACGGTGTCCGGGCGCAGTGTGGCCGCGGCCAGCGGACCGGGGCCCTCGGGCACTGGGCACTACTGCCTGGAGCTGCTGCGGTGAGCGAGCCCGGCCTGCCCCGGCGGGAGATAGAGGAGCGGGGTGTCCGGGTGGGTGGGCGTCTCTGGGATTTGTATCTGGCCCGCGACAGCGCGCCTTCCTCGCGACCCTCTGGGTGTGTGTGCGTGGAGGGAGTAAGGCAACATGAACATTCACATGGCAACCAAATTGTGGCAAAATTCCTTCTCCTGCCTATGCTTGTCACCTTGCCTGAACTTTAATTTTAACCTAACTCAACGTTTTTGCGTGCATAACCTTTTTTATTCGCAAAACGTCTAGTAACTAATGACAACAGTAGCTAACTTTTAATTCTTTCTGTGTGTATGGCAGTTTACAGAGTACTTTATGAGTAATTTGTTTAAACCTTACTGCAAATTATGACAATTGTAGACCTGCCATTTAGGGTTGTGAATATTAACAATGCCTGGCACATAGTAAGGGCACAGTGAATACAATATAAGTCATTATTGTCTCATTTAATAGACAAGTAAACGGAGTTTTATAGTGATTAGGGAATTTGCATGAGGTTCACTAGAATAGCCTCATGAAGTCAAGAGTTTGAAGTGGTTTGTTCCCGCTGGGAAAGCCTGGCACTTGATCCTTAATCATTTGTGGAGGTGGTTTGGATCAATCAGGTTACCTGGCTCTTCCAGACAGGGGCTGACTTGGAATCCTGGTCTGACTGCTGAGACCCATGGCTTAGCCCAGCTGCCCCTCTGCTGCCTTTCATTTGAAAGCGTATCATAAGGTCTCAAGGACTCCTCGAAAGTACTAGAACACATACCTAAAATACCTTGGGTTTAATAGAGCAAGTAAATCCAATTTTTTTGAATTGCATTTTAGTAAAAAGTAGCTTAACACAAAATACATGTATTTCAGAGTTTTGTTTGTAATCACTTTTTAAAAATTGTATTTCTCCCCCAACCTTATATATTGATTACTTATAGGAGAAACAAGGTAGCAATAGTGGAAATGGAGGCATTAAAACCTGTGAAAACCAAAACTGTTAAGTTGTATTATTTTTATATATTTTACCTTTATTATCTTTTGATGATAAAAAGTTCAGGTTACCAGAGTGTACCACCTATAGCCACTAGTGTCATAACTTTCCTCTTCAGAGGTAATCAGTCTTACAAATTTCTTATGTATTCCTAACAATGATAGTCTATGGACTTACAAATATTTAAGTATATAATTCTTTATTTTTACTTCACTCACATGCTAGCTTTTCTTAAATATATGTTCTATAGTTACATATGGCCAGGTATTTAACCTGTCCATGTTATTTGTGAGGAAGAGAGGCTCTTGGCTCCAGTGAATTAAAAGACCTAGGTTTTGCAGGCAGACCTGATCTGAGTTATTTATCCCAGCTCTCTCACTTGGGAAATTTGCTTAAAGACTCAGTTTTTTGCTCATTTGTAAATATCTACTCCTACCTTGTATTCTGATTGTGAGGATTAATTGTGATGATGTATATAAAAATGCTTAGCAAAGTCCTGGCACATAACAAATACTTAATAAAGTAGTTTTAAAAATAAAACCAGGCTGGGCGTGGTGGCTCACACCTGTAATCCTAGCACTCTGGGAGGCCGAGGCGGGAGGAAAGCTTGAGCTCAGGATTTGGAGACCAGCCTGAGCAAGAGCAAGACCCTGTCTCTACTGAAAATAGAAAGAAATTAATTGGCCAACTAAAAATAGAAAAAATTAGCCAGGCATGGTGGCGTTTGCCTGTAGTCCCAGCTACCCAGGAGGCTGAGGCAGGAGGATTGCTTGAGCCCAGGAGTTTGAGGTTGCTGTGAGCTAGGCTGATGCCACAGCACTTAGTTCAGGCAACAAAGTGAGACTCTGTCTCAAAATAAATAAATAAAAAGGAAAAAAAAAGGCCGGGCGTGGTGGCTCACGCCTGTAATCCTAGCTCTCTGGGAGGCTGAGGCGGATATTGCTCGAGGTCAGGAGTTCGAAACCAGCCTGAGCAAGAGTGAGACCCCGTCTCTACTATAAATAGAAAGAAATTAATTGGCCAACTAATATATATATATATATATAAAATTAGCTGGGCATGGTGGTGCATGTCTGTAGTCCCAGCTACTTGGGAGGCTGAGGCAGAAGGATTGCTTGAGCCAGGAGATTGAGGTTGCTGTGAGCTAGGCTGACGCCATGGCACTCACTCTAGCCTAGGCAACAAAGCTAGACTCTGTCTCAAAAAAAAAAAAATGAAAAAAAAAATAAAACCAAAATGAAACTTGAAAGGAAGATTAGAACTTCTGGCTTCTAACCATCAACAATCTCTGCAAGATTTGGTCTATGCAATTGTGCAAGGTTGTTTTGAACATGCATCTTGTGCAGGGTCTCCAAATGTCAGGGAAAATATCAGGCCGTAAGTTCAGGTTAGTCATCCTCTCTCTCCTAGGAATCTATGTTTCTGCAAAAATCTCAGACCTAATTTACATAGGCTTCATAGAGTTTCTTTTTGTGGAGAGTAAACAAGGAGCCTCAGGCTGTAGGTGTGAGAGTGCACTCATGATCTTCATCCTCCTGCAACTTCATTAGGGAACCACTTCTTCCCATGTGCCTTGATGGCACAGGTCCATGGTAGTAGCACAGTAGTACTAACACCCTATGCACTTGTTTCTCGTATGTGTGCCTCTCTGTACCAGGTTGAAGTTGGTACCTGTCTTCAGTGTCTAGCACAGTGCCTGGCACATGGTAGACACTGAATAAATGTGAGAATGAATGAGAGGTTATTTGCCTTATTAGTATATAAAGCCATCTGTCATATATGCACATATATATGTATCCATAATATGGCTATCTCACTATCTGGGACAGCTCACAGATAACAGGACCTTGGTTAGACACTTAGGGCATTCTTATATATCTATAGTCCAATAGTTGATTTTTTTTTTCTTTTTCCAATAACCATTGGAAACAACAATAATTGATTTTTATAATAATGATCCTGAGTGATGAAAAAATGGTTAGTCAGTATATCCTGTTTAATGTGGTGAAAGGGGTAATATTGTTTAGAAAAATTTCCATCCAAAATTTTTTTTTTTCCTGAGACAGAGTCTCACTTTGTTCCCCTGGCTAGAGTGCTGTGGCATCAGCCTAGGTCACAGCAACCTCAAACTCCTGGGCTCAAGCGATTCTTCAGCATCAGTGTCCTGAGTAGCTGGGACTACAGGCTTGCACCACCATGCCTGGCTGATTTTTTCTATATTTTTTTAGTTGGCCAATTAATTTCTTTCTATTTTTGGTAGAGATGGGGTCTCGCTCTTGCTCAGGCTGTTTTTGAACTCCTGACCTTGAGCGATCTGCCCACCTTGGCCTTCTAGAGTGTTAGGATTACAGGTGTGAGCCACTGGGCCTGGCCTCCATCCAGAATTTTTTTAAAAAATTGTTAGCAGGGCAAATCCTTAGCTGTGTAGAGTATCTTATTTCCTAAATATTTCTTATTTCCAAAATATTTTATTTATGTCTATTTTATTTTTCATTTCCCTGTAAGAAGCTTGAAGTACTTCACATATTAGTTATTTTTAGAAGATGTGGAACACATAGGCTATCAAGCTTCATTTTGCACATTGGGAAGTAGACATGAGTAGTAGGTATCATTTCTATTAATAACTAGTTGAATGATAGAAGTTAAGATTGTAATTTTGATTCCCATTCAGTTTTTCCTCACTGTTTCATGTTAACTTCAAGTGTTTTAAACACATTTGAAGTTCAGAGTTTTTTAATAGTAAATAAAATCTAAAAATAATAAACTATAGACCTACTTTGCCCTCAGTCCTTAGAAATTTGAGGGGAACCATTTTGTAGGTGAAACTGCTTAAGGTGAAATCTTTTTAGTAGCACTATCTTGAGATCGCAGGGTTACTATTCATGATCTCTTCCTTTTGTTTATGTGGAAATTGTTGGAAATTGTCAAGGGAGTGGCTATATGGGGCTTAAGTTCTCTGTTAGGAACCGGACAAAATGTGGACCAATTGAAAAGTGGGAGTAATCTGAATTTGAGTACCTAAACTCCATGGAATGAGGTCCAGATTGGACCCATCTTCTATTAAGTACTGCTTTATAGGAAATAATGTTATAGTAAGGTTCCAGTGTATTAGAATTAAAGTAGACTTGTTGATAGGCAGTCCTGTAAGTACTTTAAACTTAAGACACCTTCCTTGAATGATTATAGTAAGGTCTATATTTTTCTTTAACTTTTTATTTCAAATTTACATAAAATTACAGAAATATTACAATACTATAATAATAGTACACAGAGCTCTAGTATACTGTTCACCAGATTCCCTCATTGTTAACATTATGAACCATTTGAGAACATGATGCTCCATTACCTTCCTTAATACTTTGGTGTGTGCTTTCTAAGTACAAGAGTAATTCTCCGTATAAGAGTACAGCCATCAAAATTAGGAAATTAAAATTGATCCAGTATTACCATCTGATGCACTGACTCTATTCACATGTTGCTGATTATTCCATTATGTCTTTGATACATCTAAAATCATGTGCTACATTTAGTTATGTCTTTAGTATTCTCCAGTCTGGAAAAATTCCTCATTCTTTCCTTATCTTTCATGAGCTTGACATTTTTTGAAGAGACCAGGCCAGTTACTTTTTAGAATCTCTCTCAGTTGGATTTTTAGTATTTTTCTGTTGATTTATGCATTTTAAACAGAATATCACAGAAGTAATGTCTTTCTTTTTTCTCTGTGTAGCACATCAGAAAGCACATGACATTGATTTGCCCTATTATTGTGATGTTAACTTTTTATTATCTTCCAGTTTTCTCTTTGTAAATTTAATTAAGAATAATGTTAATTAGAAAGGAATGCATACTTTGTGGGGAGATACTTTAATACTATGTAAATATTCTGTTTACATCAAACTTTCACCTATTTAATGTTTTCAGGCATTTATTTTATGATTTTTGCCTAAATCAGGTATTACTATGATAGTTATCATATAATGATTTTTATAAATTGCATTATGTTTTCTGGATTTATTAGTAGGCATTATGCTGATTGTCAGGCTTTTCCTTCTCTTTCCATTTATTTATTCATTAATTTATATCAGCATGTGTTTATAGAGTCCTATTATCTGTTACTATCATTATTTTTTTGATGCTGAAATTGCTACAGGGTTGGCTAGTAAGAACTCTGTCAGGCTAGTTTCTATGTTCTTTTGACAAGTCCCCTGCATTCTTTAAACATTTTTTTTGCTTTCTGTTCAAGAAGATGTTTCAGGCTTATCTTATTTTTCCTGCCACAGCCCTGTCATTCCTCCAAGGAGCCCTAGTTTGTTTCAGTAGAGAATGGTTGTAGAAACCAAGATCTAGGTGGTAGTTGTGTTCATTGATACCAGGGGATATAATTGCTTCTAGACTCTTTCATCAGATGCTCCTAAGAAACGTATGTGTGCACACAACACCTGCTTCTATTGATTTCTACGTCTTATCTCTGTGTCTTTTTATGTATCTATCTATGTATTAAAAACTGAGTTCACACCAGTAGTTGCTTAAATGATTTTTTTAACTTGATTTCTACTTTTGTAGCTCATTTGAATTCTTATTAAACCCAAGTGATTCTGAAACTATTAAGATTATAAGTACTATATAGTTCAAATTAAATTAATAGAGATTGAGTATTTCTTCTTTTAGGTGGTCTGGGATTGGGAGCAGATACATTTTTTGTAATTATAGAGTAACAAGTATAAAAGATAAGACATGTCAGGCTTATTCTAAAGTCTCTTTCAGTTCATTTTGATATTTTTGTGTGCAGTTTGGAAAGTGAAGAGTAACTACCTTTTTTTTTTTTTTTGTCTATTTGTTATAGGAAACGAGATTATGAAGGTTATTTATGCTCCCTGCTGCTCCCTGCAGAATCCCGAAGCTCTGCTTTTGCACTGAGGGCCTTTAATGTGGAACTGGCTCAGGCTGGTATTAAGATACCTTAAAATATTATTTGAAAAATAGTGATATAATGTGTTTCATTCTGTACAGTAAAGAAATATAGTTGTAATTTATATGTTAGGTGTGTTTAAGGTCTCTACTGGTGACTTCTTTCTTCTGCTAACTATTTAGGCTTAACAATTCAGTACCCAAAATAAAACTAGCTAAGGAACTTGATGTTTCTGGAAATGCCATCCTGGAATTTTTTACCTCTTTTTCTGAGGATATTATAAAATTGTGCAATTAACATTGCATATTTATCTGTTAATTGAATAGATTAATTAGGGTATTATTGCTTATTCTCTCTAACAATTGCACAATTTACATGCATATAGCAGTTTTTCAAAGCACTGAGATTTTAGCTTTAATGTGAGTGGGGAATGGATGCAATTATAGCAAACTCATACTAACTCATTTTGGTCTAAGAATTATAAAGGAAGGCAAGATCCTTTTTTTTTTTTTTAGAATAGAAAGAACTTAAGCAGATACAAAATAAATTGAAATAGGGAATGGAAATGAGGGAGTTTAAGTAGAATGGCCTTCATCTTCTCAGTAAATTAAATGGGAAGGTCAGATATTAGGAGTAAGGGAGCAGGAGAGTGCTTGGAGTCTTGAAGAGAGTAGCACGTTTTGGCACAGCTTCTCTGGAGCATATGATAGAGGTGAACAAGGAACGAATAAAAGGATGTGGGTACATATAGTACTGAGGCACAACTGAGATTCACAACCATGAGTCTGCAGAGAGTCTAACAGACTGGCTATTTTTTTGTCTGGTATATCCCTGGAATTTGTGGGTCATCCTTTTTCAGGTATAAACTATACATCACTGTGTTAAGTCAGTCACAATTCAGCCATGAGTAATTCCCAGTGTGGTCTTCCATTATAATTTTTAAATGATTAAAGTTTCATTTTTTAAGAAAACCCCAGAGTTCCCCTTGAATTCTCTGTCACTTTGTGGGAGCATTTGTGTGTACTTTGCACACACAGTCTTGTTTATTCACTCACTCAGCATATTCATTGAGTGTCTAAAATATGCTAGACACTGCTTTAGGTCCTGCGGGTATAGCAGTGAATAAAATACACAAAGTCCCTGCAGGCAGTGAACAAATAAATAACTGTGTAATGTATCAGATGGCAACCAGTGCTGTGGAGGAAAATAAAGCAGGATGTGGAGATAGGGAAGGCTGGGTGCAGCAGAGGTTCCTATTTTATGTAGGGTGGTCAGGAAAAACCTCACTGAGAAGGTGGCATTGGAGCAAAGATTTATAGGAGGTGAGAGAGTGAGCTGTATAGATGTGGGCGGAGTATTTTAGGCAGAAGGAGCAGCAGTTGCAAAGGCTCCTAGGTGCAGGTGTGCCTGACGTATTCAGAGAACAGGAGAAGACCATTGTGGTGCAGCAGGGAGCATGGGATGAGATTAATTTGGGGCACCTGGGTCAGAAAGGCAAGATCTTGGCAACCATTGCAGCCATCTTGGCTGAGTGAGATGGTCAGTCACTTGAGGGCTCTGAGTATAGAGGGACAGAGGGACATAACCTCTTGGTCATGTTTTGAAAGAATTACTCTTTCTGCTGTAGTGGATGCCACTGGTATCTGAACACTGAACATTGCTAAGAAACCCAGCACTAGGATCATTTTTTTTTAAGAGAAACTCTTTATTTAGAAATAAATTCACATACAGAAAAGTAAGAATGGTACCAAAGAATACCCATAGACCCTTAGTTAATATTTTGCCCCATTTGCTTTATCGTTCTGTCACATATGTATACACACACATTTTTCTTTTTATGAATCATTTTGGAGTAACTTGACTGCACCATGGCCCTTACCCTATAAACCTGGGTGTGTATTTTGTAAGAACAAGGATATTCTCTTACATTACCACAGTATGGTTATGAAGGAATAAATTTAACATTGATATAATACTTTTATTTTGTCTACCATCTGGTTTCCAGTTTTGTCAAATGACCCAATAATGTCCTTCATGGTGCTTTTTTTTTCCTTATGTGTAGGATCTAGTGTAGGATCATGTATTGTGTTTAGTTTTTGTGTCTTTTTACCCTCCTTTAATATGAAACATTTGTCTTTTATTACACTGATATTTTTTCAAAACAATACTGTTCCTTTTTAAAAACAGAATGGTTCTCATTTAAGGTTTAGTTTATTTTTCATCATGATTATTTTAAAGTTATGAATTCCTAGCCTAATATTACCTAAATGGTACATGTCCTCTTCAGAGAATCAAAAGGAGGCATGTCCATCTGCCTCTCTGTGGTAATGTTGATTTTGGTCACCCAGTCAAGATGTCAATATCTTTTTCTCTTGCTACTAATAAGCAGTCTGTGAGGAGACATTTTAAGACCAAGGTCCTCATCAAAATTTATCTCCTTGGTTTAGCTTGCATTGATGATTCTTGTCTGAACCTAAGAAGGCCATTCTTAATCAGTATGATTAAGGGAGATAGTCTAATAACCTTCTTTTTAAAAATTAATGAATGAGTTTATTTAAATGTACAGACAGTAAAATTCACTCTTTGTTGGGTACAGTTCTATAGGTTCTGAAAAATGTAAAATCTATAGTCATGATATAGGACAGTTCCATTAACTAAAAAAATTCCCTCAAAAATACTGATTTTTGAGACTAAGCAGTATATTTGTTAAAGTTTTTAAACCTTATTTACAGGTTAAGGACTCAGTCTCTGAGAAGACAATTGGACTGATGCGAATGCAGTTTTGGAAAAAAACTGTGGAAGATATATACTGTGACAATCCACCACACCAGCCTGTGGCCATTGAACTATGGAAGGTAAAAAAAAAAAATGCTGCTTTTAATTTTTAAGAATATTATTTGAGCCTACTTTTTGATGGATATAATTTGGATAGTGGTGATTATAGTGGAATATATCCTGAAAATATTCTTAGGCTTATGTAACGTTCAGATCTATGTTAGTTTGGACAGAGGAATTTAAAATTATCCACTGATAATTTGCGCAGGTCTTTGGTGTATTTCTGTATTAAAGGATAAAAGAAGAATCTGGTCTCTTTATGTTATGAATTACTTAAATATTTTCCACATATTTTGGTGTAGAATTTAAATCCTGCAAATTTTGATGCAGTGGCAGGTAAATTTTTCTGTTCTGTCTGCCCAGCAGCTCTTTACACCAGTGTTTTAATTCAGACCCTGGGCTGTAGAATAACAACTATTAATCTTTTGTGAAGGGACACTTACTCTTACCATTGTTCAGATACAAATCTAAGACTTCCTTGTCTAATTTGATAGAATTACCTATTTGTTGATGAATTTTATATATTAGAGGATGGAAACCTATGAGCTAGAGTATTATTTGTATAGCTAGATATATATAGTAAATGGTTTTATATTAAAGCAGCTATATGGATCCCTCATTCATAAACAGCCATGTGTGGTTTAGCAATATGCTAACCTATGAATGGGAGGAAGGGGAATTAGGTGCCTTTTGTCACTGATGTGTGTCCCCGTTGTAATAACGATGATTGCCAAAAAAGGGTTTCTGTAACAGCAGCCACCCACAGACCTGACAGTGGAACACCTCTTCTCAGGCCTGTGTACCAGCAGAGGCAGGCCCAGTGTCTGGGCCCCAGATTGACTTCACAGAGCCCCAGTAAAGATGGGAAGCCAGATCCCCCGACACTGGGGACTGAGAAGAAAAAGTGGATGGGAAGCTGTGAGTATTAGATTAGTTCTTTACCTCTATTTGTCCCGCTTCAAGAAGCTCAACCTAGGTGACTCAGTAAAGAGAAAAGTTTTTCTAAAATCCAGAAACCCTTTCTATTCATTATTTTACACAAAAACCTGACTATAGTGGAGGTTGACATTAAGACTTGGATTGAAGGTTCTGGCTTTTGTCTGGAAATATAGTGGAATATTAGAGGTTCCTTCAATGCAAATTTATCTTACCTTGGCTTCTCTTACAAAACTAGAAGATATATCTTAATTATAGAATGTTTACATGTGTGCTGATTTAGGATTGCCAATTTTTACAATTTTAATTGCTTAAATTTTGATGATTACTGTTAGCTAGCTTTCTGATATGACCAGTGTTAAAGGATGATATGAATATTTGAAAGAAGCAGGTAGTGTTTGGAGCAGTTGTTTACTTTATATTAATATATTGTCTATTCTTCCTCATTCTGTTGGAGTGTATTCTTACTGTGACGCCAGTGAAACTTTCCATTGTTTCTTTGAAGAGTATTGAGTTAGTTCTTTGTAAGATTAAATAGGAGGGGCAGTGGCAGTGTGTTGTCTAGAGACCACTTTCCAGCTGTACTGTTTCATTAGTATTTTTAGGGTACAAAATAGTTGAATATTTATAATTTCTCATGCGTTCCATATAGGGTTCTCCCTTTCTCTGTGTATAAATTTTAGATGCAATTTGAATTTATGTTTATAGCCAAGGTTTTTTATTCTATTTGGCTTCGTTTTCCAGAGTCAATACTTTATTTAGCAGATTTCCAACTTCTTTTTAATATTTATTTTTTACCTTGATCTCTGATTTTCTTTGGAATCAAACAGAACTATCTTTTGTAGTCAAGGAACTGCAGCCATTATAGCGTCAGTCTTGAATAAATAGAGCTTTGTTTTTTCATTGATTAAATATTTATTGAGTACTTTTATGTGCCAGGAATGGTACTTGCTGGTCTGGTTACAAAGATCAAACATGCCCATCCCATTCAGACACATATAAAATAAAACAAGAGCAGGAGTCTGTAATGACTGGTTGGCTGCTTCCTGGGATTTGGGAGAGAGGCCTATTGGGAGATCCTTGCTATGTAATAGCAGTAATGCTGAGAGCACTTTGGAACTAATTCTGTGCAGCCCTTTTAGTTTCTGTTAGGTTTCTGCCAGCCAATGTGGGCTCTGTTCTCTGTACTCACACCCTTTGTCACATAAATGTGTACTGATGAGTGTGCTAGCCTTTACATTTTAGTATCAATGGCATCTGAGAGTCTTAATTGAAATATAGGATATCCCTAAGACTTTATGTTTCACTACCATATTTATTATTGTGAAACTATATTATACTTAGTATTAACATGGCAAAAAAAAACAGTGTTTTTAAAACTATTTGGAAATAATTTCAAACTTTCAGAAAGGTTACAGAATTAAAAATAGTACAAAGAACACCTCTATACCCTTTACCCAGATACACTATTATTAACATTTTTTTTTTTTCTTTTTTTGAGACAGAGTCTCACTTTGTTGCCCAGGCTAGAGTGAGTGCCATGGCATCAGCCTAGCTCACAGCAACCTCAAACTTCAAACTCCTGGGCTCAAGCAATCCTGCTGCCTCAGCCTCCCGAGTAGCTGGGACTACAGGCATGCGCCACCATGCCTGGCTAATTTTTTCTATATATATTAGTTGGCCAATTAATTTCTTTCTATTTATAGTAGAGATGTGGTCTTGCTCTTGTTCAGGCTGGTTTCGAACTCCTGAACTCAAACAATCCTCCTGCCTCAGCCTCCCAGAGAGCTAGGATTACAGGTGTGAGCCACTGTACCCAGCCTATTGTTAACATTTTATTTATTTGTTTAATCATTTGTGCACATTCACTCACATGTGTGCTCTTTCTCCCTCTCCCTCTCTTTCTCCCACCCTTTCTCTCCCTATATATGCATGTATATTTACATTCATAACTTTTTTCGGACTCATTTGATTGTAAGTTAAATACATTATGGTCCTATCCTAAAAATTTTAGTGAATATTTTCTATGTATATTTTCTTACATAACCAGAAAAATTATTGATTATAGTAAATTTAACTTTTATCTAATTTTTAAATACTTTTATCTAATTTTCTATTCATTTTCCAATTTTGTCAGGTGACCTAATGATGCCCAGTGTAGCATTTTTTCCCCTCCACTATAGGATCCAGTTTTGGGTCAGGTCAGTTTGTCATATCTCTTTAGTTTGTTTTAATCTGGAACATTTCCATAGCTTTTGTCTTTTATGACATTGACAATTTTGAAGAGTGTAGCGCCCCCCCCCTTTATTTTTGTAGAACATTCATTTTGGATTTGTCTGATGTTTTCTCACGATTCAGATTATGGATTCAGCTGGAATACTTCATAGGTGAAGTGTCCTTCTTATGGTATCATATCTAGAGGCACACTTTTTCCATCTGTCCTTTATTGGCACTGTTAATTTTGATCACCTAGTCAAGGTTTTGCCTGGTTTTCCCACTATATAATTATGATTTGCCTTGCAATTAATCAGCCATCTTTGGGGGGATACTTTATGACTATGCAGATATCTTGGTCCTCATCAAAATTTCCCCCCCAAACTTAGCAGGCATTGATGGTTCTTGTCTGATTCAGTCTTTACTGTTATGGTTGCAAAATAATAATTTCTCAACTCCAGCACTGTGTCCACATTTGCCAGTTGGCACTTAGCATTCTACTGTAAGAATGAGCTTTCCCTCTTCTATATTTATTTTTTTGCTTTTTAATGATTAGTGTGGATTCAAGAATTCCTATTTTTTTATAGTTTATTTTTTAATAGAAATAACTAGCATAGGAATTCATCTGTCTATCTACGTGTCTATCTATTTATTTGTTTATTTATTGAGAGACAGGCTCTCACTCTGTCGCCCAGACTGGAGTGCATTGGTACTATCATAGCTCACTCTAACCTTGAACTTCTAGGCTCAAGGGATCCTCCCACCGCCTCAGCCTCCTAAGTGGCAAGGACTATAGGCATGAGCTACCATGTGCCCATCTGATTTTTTAAAAAAATTTCTTTTTTGTAGAGACTGGGGTCTCACTATGTTTCCCAGGCTGGTCTCAAACTCTTGGCCTCAAGTGATCCTCCTTGCCTCAGCCCCCCAAAGCACTGAGATTATAAATGAGCCACCGTACCTGGCCTCCTAATGGTTTATAAGTACATTCGTGTACTTAATTATTTTGGTGTTCTAATTGTCCCTGATTTGGGCAGTGGGAGCTCCTTCAAACTGGCTCCTATGTCCTTGTGACATGCCTTCTCACTTTTTAAAGCTCTTTCTTATTTTCTGGCACAGTAAGATTCAAAGATCATCTTGAACTTCTTCCTTCCTACTCCTCTAGAATCACCTATTTCTTTTAGAGCATTGATTCCTTTGGGGGAATGGTATTAGAGACCAGTGTTTGGGCAGTAGGTGTGTTTTTTCCTACTGGAGTATCTTTACTTTGCTAAGACAACAGTTTATCCTGCAAATTATTTTTATTGTAGCTTTAGTTAACTCTTTTCATTTTCAGAGAAGTGGTTATTTTTGCTAAATAGAATCTTTGTCCTATGAAAAAAATTTTGTGTGTAATAAGTGAGCGTAGAAGTCAGGATGTATCACGTAGTAGAGAAGCTCAGTATTTAATTCTTTTCTGTTTTCTTGAAAATGGAATCATTAAATTACGAACAGTATTTGCGGGGTGCAGTGGCTCATACCTGTAATCCTAGCACTCTGGAAGGCTGAGGCAGGAGGATCACTTGAGGTCAGGAGTTCGAGTCTGATCAAGAGCAAGACCCCATCTTTACTAAAAATATAAAAAATTAGCTGGGCATAGTCGCACAGCCTGTAGTCCAGCCACTTTAGAGGCTGAGGCAGGAGGATCGCTTGACCCCAGGAGTTTGAGGTTGCTGTGAACTAGGCTGACGCCACAGCACTCTAGCCCAGGTGACAGAGTGAGACTCCATCTCAAAAAAAAAAAAAAAAAAAAAAAATTAGTAACAGTATTGGGGAAAAAAAGGTTAATGGAAAAGTATTATAAATATCTTTACTTGGAAATATTTTGAAATAATCTCTAGAGACATTTTCTTTTTCCCTGATAATTCTTTAACACAATATCTATCTGGTGATGAATTATTACAAATGTTTCCTTACTTAGTTTTGCATTTGGTTTGTTTATGTTATTCAAATCTACAGAAGTCATTTCTAGTACTTTCTAAAAACTGACAACACTCTTGTTTTTCTAGGCTGTCAAAAGACATAATCTAACTAAAAGATGGCTTATGAAGATCATTGATGAAAGAGTAAGTTGCAGTTGTTCAAGCCTTAAGTTTTTTTTTTTTCCTACTTAAGCATCTTCAGGGAGAAAATACTTTAACATTTTGGAAGAAAGCAGCTTTTTGAAAAGCATGCCATTTTATCCATACTTTATCCCTGCATGCCGCCCACCTTAGTCCCCTGCAATGGACACCTTAAGACAGACAGGCAAAGATAGGCACCAAGGCAAAGGCAAGTATATGCTGCACAACCAAATCCAACTGTTTTGGTTTTTTCAAATGGAAATTTTCATATTTATACAAAAGTAGAGAGAATACTGTGATATGCTTTCATGTATTTGTCATTCAGCTTTAATAGTTATCAATACATGTCCAATCTTATTTCATCTATATTCTACCAACTCCCCTCACCAATCTCTATTTGATTATTTTTAAGTAAATCCTAGGCATCTTATCACTTGATCTACAAATACGTATACATTTTTAAAAGATAAAGACTTTTAAAAAATATAACCACAGTATGATTATCACACCTTAAAATGTTACTAATAATTGTTTGATATCATCAAATACTCATTTAGTCATACACATACCTTTATGTACACCTCAGTACTTGGATCTGTGTCCAAATAGTAAAGGGAATAAAGAAAGTCTGATGGTTCCGATGAATGGAATCCTGTACTAAATTCTTAGAACTGAGTTCTGGGTCCAACCCAGCCTGTCAATTACTCTGTGACCTGGTCTAACTTGTATAATCTTTCTGATACATTGTTGTATCAGTGTTCTCCTTGGCCTGATATTTATCACATACTGTTGTCATGCAAATGTAAGTTTACTCAGTTTATTTAGATGTAATTTGTTAATAACTCTGGGCTGTAGTAATAATAATTATAAGCCAAAAAGAGATTGGTAGTGACTTTAGCATTGAAAACAAATTATTCAGTAGGCCTGTAGGTGAATTAGCACTAAGAAAACCTATTTTTCTGGTATCTTTTCTATTTTTATCAGGTAAAGAAAATTAGAGAACTAAAGACAGAGATGCCTTTTTTGTTTAATGAAAAATAACACTTGGCATTTGAAAGGGGGTTATTTAAAAGTAAAGTACTGGGATCAAACATTGATCTATAGATTCAATGCAGTTCTTATCAAAATTCCAGCTTCCTTTTTTGCAGAAATTAACAAACTGATCCTAAAATTCATATAGAAATGCAAGGGACCCAGAATAGCCAAAACAATTTTGACAAAGGAGAACAAAGTTGGAGGACTCACATTTCCTGATTTCAAATGTGAGTACTACAAAGCTACAGTACTCAAACTGTGTAGTATGTGTATAAGATAGACATATATATCAGTGGACTAGAAATGAGAGTCCAGAAGTAATATAAACCCATATATTTATAGTCAGTTGAGTGACAAGGGTGTCAAGACAATTCAGTGGGGAAAGAACAGTCTTTTCAATAAATGGTGCTGGGACAACTGGATACCCCATGCAAAAGAATGAATTTGGACCGTTACCTCCCATCATATAAAAAAATTAACTCAAACTGGATCAAAGATCTATATATAAAACTCTTAGAAGAAAACATAGACATAATCTTTATGATTTTGGTTAGGCAGTTATTTCTTAGATACAATGCCAAAGGCACAATCAAGAAAAGAAAAAATAGATAAATTAGACTTCATCACAATTTAAAACTTCAATAAAGTAAAAACCTACATAATGGGAGAAAATATTTGCCAGTTATATATCTGAAAGGGAGTAGTCTCTTAAATATATAAGGACCTCTTATAACTCAGCAATTAAAAGGCAGCCTAATTTTAAAATGGGCAAAGGATTTGAGTAGACATTTCTCCAAGGAAGGCATTCAAATGACCAATAAGCATCTGAAAAGATGTTCAATATCTTTTCATTTGGGAAATACAAATCAAAACAATAAAATACCACTTCACACCATTAGAATGTCTGTCTGTAATAAAAAAGATGAACAAGTGTTGATGAAAATGTGGAGAAATTGAAATCCTTCTTATGTTGCTAGTGGGAATATAAAATGGTGCAGCTGCTTTGGAAAGATAGTTTGGCAGTTCTTCAAAAAGTTAACTATAGTGTTACTATAGACCCAGCAATTCCACTACTAGGTTTATACTAACCAAGAGAAATGAAAACATAGGTCTGCACAAAAGTTGTATACAAATGTTTGTAACAACATCACTCATAATAGTCCCAAAGTGAAAAGAACTCATAACCCCTATTAATGAGTGGTTAAAATGTGTTGTATTTATACAATGGAGTATTATTCATAATTTGTTTAGTTAAAAAGAGTGAAATACTGATAGTTCCAACATGGATGAACCTTGAAAACATTATGCTAAATGAAATAAGCCAGACATAAGAAACTACGTATTGTATGATTCCATTTTTATGAAATGTCCAGAATATACAAGTCTATGAAGGTAGAAGGTAGATTAGTGGTTTGCCAGGGGAGGGGAAAATGGAAAATGACTGCTTGGTGGATACGGGGTTTCTTCTGGGGATGATGAAAATATTCTGAAATTAAATAGTGGTGATAGTAGCATAACTTTGTGGGTATACTAAAAACTAATGAGTTGTGTTCTTTTTTTTGAGACAGAGTCTCGCTTTGTTGCCCAGGCTAGAGTGAGTGCCGTGGCATCAGCCTAGCTCATAGCAACCTCAAACTCCTGGGCTCAAGCAATCCTGCTGCCTCAGCCTCCCGAGTAGCTGGGACTACAGGCATGCGCCACCATGCCTGGCTAGTTTTTTTCTATATATATTAATTGGCCAATTAATTTCCTTTCTATTTATAGTAGAAACGGGGCTCTTGCTCAGGCTGGTTTTGAACTCCTGACCTCGAGCAATCTGCCCGCCTTGGCCTCCCAGAGTGGTAGGATTATAGGCGTGAGCCACCCCACCCAGCCAATGAGTTGTGTTCTTTAAAGGGACAGATTTTATGGTATGTGAATTATGTCTCAATTAAAAATATGTAAAGGACTTATTTTTTTCCTGGGATCATTGCTAGTGTCAATTTCTCCTGATTTATAAAAAGGGGGTAGAGTTGAGGATAAATAGAGTCTTTGTAAATGTATTATTATAAAAGTGGCTAAATGTTCTTGCTCTAGGATTTACATTTTTCCATTTCTTAAATAAAATGTATTTAAGTCATCACCTTCTTACTTTATTAAGCTTGGTTACTCTTAGGGGCCCTGGTTGCTATTCTCTTCATTTTCTAGAAGAGAATAGAAGAACATGAGCTCAAGAGTCAAAATATGTGGGTTTGAGTCCCATCCCCACCATTTATTAACTGTGACCTTGAATGTGTTACTTAATGTGTTTATACTGCAGTTTCTTCATCTGTAAAGTGGGAAAGTATTACTTCCTTATCTCATTGGGGTAGGTTAGGATTAAGAAGATAATGCCTCAGGTGCTTAAGTGCTTAAGAGTTCTGTAAACTCAGTTTCTCTTGATATCTTGGGCTTTAGAAGGATTTAAAAATTAAGCCCACCTCATGCCTATGGTGATTTGTGCATTGAAATTATTCCTGGGGTATTATTTTTAGGGGTGATTTATAAGTATTGAATGTATAGAACTTTGAAGATTACAGTGTTATTTTAATCTTATTTTTATATTATTATATACTAAATATTTTTATTCTTCATAATTCAGTTCTTCAGGGCAAAGAAAAGATAGCACTTTTATAAAATATTGACTGTTCAGCAAACTTTATTTGCATTTTCTTTGACTGTAGGAAAAGAATCTGGATGACAAACCATATCGTAATATCCAAGAACTAGAAAATTATGCTGAAAACACACAGAGCTCTGTTCTTTATTTAACGCTAGAAATATTGGGTAAGTTATTTTTCTATTTTATACTTCTCTTTTCAAATAAAACACCTTTGAAATTTTACTCTTTCGTAATTTGACAGTCTAACCAGTTTTAGCACCAGAGTTTTTCTTTGTATAATTACTAGCTATAAAGGAACAGCTTTTTTTTTCCAGCATTTTTGGTTTTGTTTTGTTTTTGAGCAAGAAGGGGAATATATATGTATATATCTTTCTTTGGAGTGCAGACTAATCCAAAACTCAAACTCTCATACAAGTAATTTAGCTACCTCATGGGAATGCTGTAATTAATAACCTGAGAATTGCAGATGGCTTTACTTTTTTACTATAGCATCTCCTACAGGCCTGTAGCTTGACTTTTCCTTTTCTGTCAATAATACTTCCCCATGTAAACAAAAAAACTAAAAGAAATAAAACTGCATTTATAAAACTTTTCATGAGGTTTTTCTTCTTTCCTTAAAAAAAAACTTAGATGAAGGCTGGGTGCGGGTGGCTCACGCCTGTAATCCTAGCACTCTGGGAGGCCGAGGCGGGCGGATTGCTCGAGGTCAGGAGTTCAAAACTAGCCTGAGCAAGAGCAAGACCCCGTCTCTACTATAAATAGAAATAAATTAATTGGCCAACTAATATATATAAAAAATTAGCCGGGCATAGTGGCGCATGCCTGTAGTCCCAGCTACTTGGGAGGCTGAGGCAGAAGGATTACTTGAGCCCAGGAGTTTGAGGTTGCTGTGAGCTAGGCTGACGCCACGACACTCACTCTAGCCTGGGCAACAAGCGAGGCTCTGTCTCAAAAAAAAAAAAAAAAAAACTTAGATGATTCTATTCCTTCTCTGACTTTGCTCCAAGTTAGTGATGTCTTATGAGGAAATTATTTGGGTTAAGGACAGTACCATCTTATCTGAAGATGGTAATATTAATATATTTTTATGCCACCCTAAAACAATAGTACAAGTCACCACTGAATTTGCCAGTCCTGTTCTGCCTGCAGCCCCAGTGACATCTTTGCCATCACAATGAAAGGAAGGAGCAAAGACAGAACATTTGTTAAGCATATGCTTAAAATAAGGTCACATGGAAATTGCACAGAGGAGAAGAAATGGAAGACTTGTGATGTTTTCCATGATAGCCAATTAAAATTCTAAATGTGTTCTTGGTGTGTCTGAGGAAAACTCTTGTATTTAGATACCTGCTGGTGGTAAATAGTCAACTTGTCTTTGTGCCCATTTCTTCCCTTATAAGTTCTGTTTTTCAGATCTAGAACAGGTTAAACACCTACTTTACATATTTAGGTGATTTCTCTGTGCTATTTCTATCGATTTGTTATGCACTTAAAGAGAATAGAGCAGCCTTGTTTAATTTCTGAAATCATAGGTATAAAGGATCTTCATGCAGATCATGCTGCAAGTCACATTGGAAAAGCCCAAGGCATTGTCACTTGCTTAAGAGCAACGCCGTATCATGGCAGCAGAAGAAAGGTGTTCCTTCCCATGGATATTTGTATGCTGGTAAGGCTGTAATTTGGACCTTCTAATAATTTACCTCAGGAATGCAGAAAGGGAAGTTAGCTCTTGGTTCTTTGCTTAGTCTAGTCAAGTAACTGCTTTGAAAGGAATGCTTATTGCTTACTGCCCATGGTCTTCCTCTTTTCATTCCAGAGTTATCGAGTCATAATTTTATCTGTCAGGCATTTTAGGTCTCTGGAGTAGCTATGAGTAAGAAGGTCCAGAGAACCTCATTTGGTATAGTTTCATGTTGATGTCTTACTCTCTTCCAAGCCATTGCAGTAATTATTCCTAGTGTTCCCCTTAGACTGTTCTTTATTTTATTGTACTGGAGGAAGTAATCTATTTAAAAAATCTTGTTTTTGAGAACTTTGATTTTCTGTATGAGATTCATTATTGTCTGTTCTTTTAAACTTTTTGTATTGGTTTTCTTGGGGTTATTTTTATTCTACTTACAGCAGTCATAAATTAACATCTTGTTGAATGTTCCAGGTGTGTGTGTGTGTGTGTGTATGCATACAAGTACACATAACACACAAATATATATATAGATACATGCATTTTTAAAGAAAAAATAGGCATTATATTGTACATACTGTTCTAGCACCAATCTTCTTGAGCTGAATTAGTTTTAATTGAGCTTTTAGATTCCTAATATAATGTGTATTTTCCCACACAGCATGGTGTTTCACAAGAGGACTTTCTACGAAGGAACCAAGATAAAAATGTGAGAAATGTAATATATGACATTGCCAGCCAGGCACACTTGCACCTACAGCATGTAAGTAGACTCTTGCTGCCAAATCATTTAGGGAATGATAATTTCTAGATGTGGCTATTCCTAGAGCATGTATGGTATTCCCAACTTGGCGGTCTTTATTCCCCTTTTCATTGAATTGCCAGTAGATTTGTCTCAGAGACTATTGTAAACTTTTCTCACTTTGAAAAAATCCCCCCTCTCTCCCTCTCAGCGCATGAATGCACCTTTACTGGGTAAATCAAGGGTGAGCTTTCTCAGGCAGGCTGCTCTGTGCTCCGTCCACTCACTGTTTCTCTCTCTCAGAGGACAGGATGTCTTTTTGCCTTGCCAAGGCTGAAGCCTCTCCTCCCTCTTCCAGGACCTCATATCCTTGGCAGTCCCCAGCTGGTGTTTTCAGTTTGCTTCTCTGATGACTTGCCCCTTTTATCTTCTGGTTTGTTGTTATTGCCGTCTGAGTTTACAGGCAGCCTGTGGACACTTTGTGTATCTTTTTCTCTCCCAGAAGAACTTTTTGAATAAGTGGTCTGCATGCATTGTTACCTCGGGGCCTCACCTCCGTGGCACTGCTCACTGTGCTGTGATTTGGCTTCCGTCCTCTCCACTTTAATAAACAATCACTAGTAAATAATCTCCTTATCACCATTTTAATGGACATTTTTTTTTCTTTCTTTTTTTTTTTTTGGACCAACTCAAAAGTCATATTCAAGATATTAATGGTCATTTAAAACTCATTCTTGATAACTCTTCTTCCTTTTTGACACCATAGATACCTTTTTCTCTTTGAAACTTTCTTTTCCTTCCTTTGAGTCTTTGACTTGGCTTCTGAACTTGTTCCTTATTTCTCCCGCTTGTCAGTTTCGTTGTTCCCCAAGAGTTAGTTCTTCATCTTTTCTCAGACTTTACCTGGTCTTCTGTTTGGGATTTGACACTGTTAACTAGCCACTTCTTTCTTGAAATTGCCCTTCATGTCCATGATGTTATTCCCTTCTGATTCTCCTTGAGCGATTCCTTGATGTCAGTGGCCCCTGAAGAGTTGGTGGGAACCTTTTATTTCCTTGATTCCCATAATGCTAATTTTTCCTGGTTCTTCTTGTGAACCTTTTTTTTTTTTTTTTAACTTTAGTGGATTCTGAAGAGTTGGTCATTTATCTGCATACCTCAGGGCCTTTGTATTTGCTATGTTTCTACTTCCTATCCTCTCACCCCCAATAGTGTGTGCTCAGATGTCATCAGAAGATCTTTCTTGTCCACCTTATCTAAAATAACAGCCTCCCTTTCCATCACCCTCAGTCCCCTTACCCAGCTTAACACTTTTCACTATCTGACATTTTAAAAGTTTGACTATTGCTTCTCCACTCCATGGAGTATAAGTGATTTTGGTTTTATGCTGTATTCTTCCGGATCTAAAATTCCTGGTGCATTATAGGCCCTTGACAAATATTTGCAAAATACTAAATAATCAGATTGTAAGCTCTTTGAGGGCAAAGACTCTATCTTAAGCTTCTTTTGAATTTCCTAAAGAATCTAACACAGTTCTCTGCCTTAACAGAGGTGTAGATAAAATATGGAGCTTTAGATGAGAAACTACTTGGGACTAGCAGAGTTTGGGGTAAGATCTGAGCACATGACAGAATCAAAGAGGCAGGAAAACCTTGGATCTGTGTGGGAACTGAGTAGTCCCACTTGATGGAATGTGTAATGCACCGGAGAAATACAAATTCCCAGGCCTCACTCCCTGGAGATTGGTACAGTAAGCCTAGGAAGGGACTAGGAGTCAAAATTTCCAAATGACTTTGAACAGCCAGCTTTGAAAACTACTGGCTTATAGGTTATGTGCAATACAGTGATGGAAAATAGGTTTGGAACGATGGTTTGAAGAAAGATTATGGAGTTTTGGAGGCTTTTGGGAGGCATTAGAGCATGGTGGATGAGAGTGCAGACTCTCAAACCGAAAGCCTGACTTTAAATCATGGCTCTGCCATTTACTGACCATGTGATCTTAACCTCTCTCTGCCTCGGTTTCCTTATCTGTAAAAGAGGATCATATTAGCACCTAGCTTAAGGGTTATTTGGATAAATGAGTTAACATATATAAAGAGTTTATAACAGTTCCTGGCATATAGTCAGTGAAATATAAGTTAGCTTTCATCATCATTGCCATCAACATCATAAGGAAAGCAGTAAATTAGTGTTTCAGACTAGAAAACTCTGCCAGCAGAGTTTGAGATGAGTTTGGGGGTTGGGGAATCAGGGGACAATTAGGAGAGGGAGAAAAAGTGGCTTAGAGACTGTAGATGTTTATATATGTGCTTGTATATGTGTATGTGTATGTATACACATGTACATATATAACTGAAGCCCACCTCCATTTATAAGGTAGAAGAAGGAAAGAATGTTCAAAGAAATAGGAGAACTGAGAGCCAGTGTCTCTTGAAAAATCAAGGGGGTAAAATATTGCAAGAAAGGGGAATATTGAAGTTTTACATACTACAGAGAAATTGAAGAGAAAAGATGGTTCTGGTGATTAGTAAATCATGGGTGATCTTAGAGCAATTTTAGAAACAGCTGGGGGTAAAACCAGAGTGTGATGGGTTAAGAAGTGAGTCAGGAAATAGAGGGCGAGTATCTGCTCTTCCTGGCATAAGAGACAATATAAGTGAAGACATGGAGACAAGAGCGAACGCAGGATGGTGGGCATCAGTCAGAGTGGACCAGGTGTTCACAGCCCAGAGTGCTAGCGAGTTGGGTTGGATGATGAGCCTAGAGTCAAGATATGACAGCCTTAGAATTCCACCATAAATAGTTGAAACTTAACCTACCAGGGAGTTAAGTTAAAGAAAGTAAAAATGAAATTGTGGTGTAAGAACATCAGTTTGGCTGGCTGTGTGGAATGAATTAAAGGTCATGGAACAGAGAGGCAGGAAGATCTCTTAAGAGGATCTTACATTCATTTAAACAACAGATAATGTCATTCTAAGCTAGGGAGGTGCTGGGACTTAATAACACAAGTATTTCTTCATTTACTCCTTACCACAGCTAGAGAGTCAAACTTATAGGATAATGTAAGAGTTGGAAAATGCCAAAGCTAATCTGTAAGAAAGAATAGAATTTTTAATATAGTGGTTACTTCTTTCTGAGTCCTTTAGGTTTAGGAAACTAATTTTAATCTGCAGGCGATGAGCTATTTTCTTGCTTTAGAGAGAGTCCCTAGCTGTATTGTTAAACTGCTGGTGTTGCTTTGTGTTTGCTTTCAGAGGGAGAGTGTTTATTTGCAGAAAAATTTCAAACCAGTTTCCTTATCTCTTCCTTTTTAGGCTAGGTCCTTCCACAAAAGTGTTCCTGTGAAAGCACTTCCTGCTTTTCTTCAGACGGTAAGTAGATTGATAGAGAAGGCTGTATAATTAGTGAAGCAGATGTGTGTGATCTCTTTTTACATTTTGTAAAGTTCCCAGTGCAGTTCTTTAGTCTGGAGCCTTTGTTTTTGTTTCCCTCCCTTATGGTGGGCTTCATTAGGTACGTGGTGCTTTTGGTGATGATCATTTCTGCATTTCCCAGAGGCAGTTGAGCTGAGTTGTTAGCACTGAGTCTGCAGCCAGACTGTATTGGTTTGAATCTGTTTTGCCCCTTACTAGCCATGGGACCTTAAGTTCCTTACCCACTGTGTTTCTCAGTTTACTCATAGGTAAAATGGGAATAATAGAAGAAACTACCTCGTAGAATTGTTAGGCTATTTGTAGCTATATAAGTATTACTTACTATTTATTAAGTTTTTCTCTGTAGTGACCTGATCATATGGTGCCACTGGTTCCTGAACAGTGATTCACAGACCAGTGCTGAGCTGGCTGCATCAGAATAACCTGGAACGCTTTTTTTAAAAATACAGTTTCCTGGAGTCTTATTAAATAAGACTCTTGGGATTGAGAAGGAGGCCAGTTCCTGGGAGAATCTTTGATTTTAAAAAGTTCCCCAGGTGATTCTGATGTGTAGCCAGGTTTGGGAACTGTTCTAAAATTTATAAAGAAATGATAATCGCCACCAATTACTTAGTAGCTATTATGGAACAGGCCCTGAACTAGGTCATTCCATACATTTTTTTAGTCTTCCTAGGAATATATCTAGGTATGGCTACTTTGAACCAAGGTTCAAAGATTTGTATATCAATATTATCTACCTTTTCCCTTTAAAATATATTTAAAAATTTATTTTGATCCCTTCACCTTTTCTATCCTAATTTTCAGGTCTGCATGTTTGAAATCATTTTGTTTCTTTATTGGGTTTGCTTATTATACAAGTAATAAACTAATATTTTAAATGTTTACATAATGTAAGAGAACGCAAAAGAAGAAATTAGAACCCTTGCAATTCCATCCCACTCAGAAATAATGTCTGTTCATCTTTCTGGACCTTTTATGTACATGTAATTGTTTGTGTATTTTTGCATGTGTCAACACATTGTACTATATCACCCTTTTTAATGGCTATTTATTTGGTGGATATACTATCACCTGTTTAACATACTAAGATAGAATAACTCCATAAAGGTTAAGGATTTTGTTTTTTTCAGTTTCATGATAAAGGTTGTTTTCAACCTTGACTGCCCATTAGAATCACTTGGGGGGGGGGCTTTAAAAAAACCCAAAACAATGCTTGGGCCCCTTTCCAGACCAACTAATTAATAATACCTAAGAGGCTAGAGGCAGGCATTGACACTTTTTAAAAGCTTCTCTTGTAAAATGCAGCTAGGGTCCAACCAGTGGCTCTCCACATGTGGTCCCTGGACCAGCAACATTCAACTCACCTGGGAACTTGTTAGATGTGCGTATCTTCTGCTTTACTTGTAGACCTACTGGATCAGAAACTCTGGGGCTGGGGCCAGCTCTCAGTTTCTCTCCTGTGCCAAGAGAAACTAGAAGGATAACATGGCAATTCCTGAGGGAGGGACTGCTTCTATCATATACCCTCATTCTTTTTGTTTTATTTTGTTTTTTTGAGACAGAGTCTCTCTCTCGTTGCCCTGGGCTAGAGTGTAGTGGCATCATTGTAACTCACTGCACCCTCCAATTCCAGGGCTCCTACCTCAGTCTCCTGAGTAGCTGGGACTACAGGTGGGAGCCACTGCACATGGCTGATTTTTCTATTTTTAGTAGAGATGAGGTCTTGCTCTTGTTCAGGCTGGTCTTGAACTCCCAAAGAAATATTTTCAAAGTTTTTTATTCTCTTTTAAAATTATTGATATTTGCTATATACAAATGAATATGTCCATATATATGTGAATATATCATAAAGTATAGCATAATAAACACTCTTGAACTCACCACTCAATCCAGGAACTAGAATGTCACCATTAAATTGCACTCATGTGCTTTCCTCATCTCATCCCCCTGCCTCTGCCTGCCTCTTTTAGGTAGCAATCCTAAATTTTGTGTGTATTGTTTCCTTTTCTTCCCCCCACCCCCACCTGCCTGTTCCCTTGCTTTTATTCCAAGAAGTTTTCTTCATTTTATATATTCCTAAACAATATGTTCCTTGGTTTTGTTTTTGAGCTTTATAAAAAGTAATCATTTTCTGTTTGTCTTCTAGAACATATAACACACTCTTAATGTTTCTGAGATTTGTGCAAATGTTGCATCTAGCTGTAGTACATTCACTTCACTGCCGTATAATATTTCATCGTATGAGCTATTTATCTTTCTTTGCCAAAGAATTTCTGGGTTGTTTCCAAGTCAAGTTTTTTGCTAATATAAAATAAGGCAGCTGTGCACATTCGTGCACATATCTCCTATTATACATATATGTAAGTTAGGGTTTTAAAACATAGATAACTAATTTGTTTGGATGTACACACCTATATTAAAAATGTGTAGGAAAAAGGGCTGGAAGAAAATACAGTACTTTTTGTTTTCTTTCCTACCATCTGTGTATTCTAAAAAACCTAAAACCACATAATCCCTGTGTAGGACCATGCAAGTTCCGTGCTGCAGAACTCCAGGGGGCACTGTGCACATGGACTGGGAAGGAAGTGCTGCCTCTTAGAATCATGGAGTATAAAACTAAAATGTTATTAAAATAAAATAAAAATGTATAAATGAATAAAGATAACTGAAAACCAAAAAATAAAGAGTACTGTACATCTTTGATGTTTTCTATCCTGCCACTATCCTGGTGAAGACTTTTTCAACCTTTATGTGGTAGGGCAAGGATGGGGTGACATTTATAGAGACCTATGATTATTCTCCCTGGTTGAAAATCATGTGTTCTAGCAAGCACATGGAGACCCATTCAACTTTTTCACAAAATAGTTTCTTGAAAAGACAACTTGAGCTCCCTCTAATGGCGTATTGCATTTGGGGGTAGGAGTGGGGAGGATGTTTGATTTTCCCTGATTGAAGCCTCCTTTTTGTATTCCACAGAATCTAGTAGTAACACCAGGCAAACATAATCTCTCTGATCTTTTACATCTTTACCAGAACATATTTTTTTGGGATCAAAAAAGGCTTGACATTTCTAGTAATAGCTCGTGATACCATTTTACTTTCCTAACAGAAACTTCTTAGGAGATGTCTTTATTTTCTATCTCACTTCTAAAATCCTCATTTAAATTGTTATTATGTAGAAGACAATTTCAGGGAAACTAAAACAGCCTTAATACTTATAGTTTTTCTTTAGTTTCTTTTAAAGACTTGATCATTTTATGATCTAGTGACCACTACTTTCTCTTTCCAGGTTTCTCTAGAGGACTATTTAAAGAAAATTCAACGAGTGGATTTTGATATATTCCACCCATCTTTACAGCAGAAGAATACATTACTTCCATTATCTTTGTATATTCAGTCATGGAGAAAAAGATATTAAAATAATTTCATGGCACTGATATTCATTAACTTTTATTCTAATAGTCGTACAAAAGTATACTTATTTCTGTTTAGAAACAACAGGAACTGATTCTGTTTACTTAAGGGGAAGGTGAACTTATCAGATGGAGTTGAGTAGCTCACAGAATTAAGAAGTTGCTGTGGGATACCAAGCAGGGTACCAAGACACTGCTGAGATTCTGCTACAGGCCCCACAATTGGCACCACCAGCCCCCAGACAAAGTTGGCTGTGCCGTCCCTGGGAAGTTGGAGCCTAGGAGGGAAACTTTGTTTAGCTGTGCTTGGGCTGTAAGCCAAGCTTCATCCAGAGGACAGGGAGAGAGAACATTGTTGTCCTCCCTTCAGCCTTTGTGGGGGAAAGGGAAAGTCCCTTAAGTTAGCACAGGGGTTTGCGTGCCGAGCAGCTGAAACTCAGGTGTTCAGCACAGCTGGAAAATGCGTTTATTTAGGGGTCACAAACAGTGAAGTTAATGTTTGGGGAGTATCAGTCACTGTATTGAGGGCTTTATATCCTTAACATTTAACCTTTACAATCTAGTGTGAAAATTTATCCATGATGATCATTTCTTTAGGTAAGGCAGTGGCTGGCAATACCTTTAATTTGACTTTAGCTCTGGCTAATTTAGAAGCTTTTACTTTTTTTTGTTAATCCCAGAGCTTCAGTATGTCATTTAGCATTATCATGATCATGAACAAAATTGTATTGACAAAATTTGTATCAGCATAAATTATATTAACAATATTATATTGAACATCTATTAAGAGGATGCTACATTTAAAAAAAAAATTAACACGCATTGCACTTCTCATCGATAAGCACTGTGCTGTCTACTTTCATTGATATTCTCATTTGATTTTCCTAAAAACCCTATGAAATAGGGCATGATTTTGTTCATTAAACTTTTAAATTATAAAGGACATCCCAATTACAAAAACCAAAATTCTTTACAATGCTGGTAGTTGGTCGATCTGGAATCTAAATGAATTTCTGACTCTCAAACCAAGATTATGTCACAGTTTTCTTTTTATATATATATATGTATGTATTTATAACTAGTTACACGTTGGATTCATAATTAGGCATCACCATTAGTAGTTGGCACAGTTTCGTCATTTAAGCTCAGGGCACAATTTTCTTTTTCCTGCATTTTCGGGTGTCTTGTCTACTGTCCCATTGTCCTCTATCCTATGTCTCTTAAGTCTTTGGTTTCAGCTATGAATTGGTGGCTACTTAAATCGTGAGTGGCTTAAAATATTACATTTTTGCAAATAAAATTCAAATGGAGAGCTTTTTGAGGGCAAGAGTACATTCATCTTGGCATCCCCCAGTACCTAGAATGGCTTCTGATTTAGAGCAAGTACATGTTAATAATGTATAACTAAGCTGGGCGTGGTGGCTCACGCCTGTAATCCTAGCTTTTTGGGAGGCTGAGGCAGGCGGATCGTTTGAGTTCAGGAGTTCGAAACCAACCTGAGCAAGAGCGAGACCCCGTCTCTACTATAAATAGAAATTAATTGGCCAACTAATATATATAGAAAAAATTAGGCGGGCATGGTGGCACATGCCTGTAGTCCCAGCTACTCTGGAGGCTGAGTCAGCAGGATCGCTTGAGCCCAGGAGTTTGAGGTTGCTGTGAGCTAGGCTGATGCCACGGCACTCACTCTAGCCTGGGCAACAAAGTGAGACTCTATCTCAAAAAAAAAAAAAATGTATAACTGAATGAACGTGCAATGTGGTTGTGTATATTAATATACTTTTAGTTGATAATGATGCTGAAAGAATATCCTCTTGTTTAATTTTAAGGCTTGAGATAGCCATTTACTTGTCTTCAAAGGCAAGTACAAGGAAATGGGACATGTTTCCTCTTGGGATTCTGAATGTTCCGGGGGGTGAAAAGTTCATTAGAGAGAGTCTTTGTTAGTGAGTATTGTCTGCAGGTCTTCCCAGGTTAAATTTGGCAACAATCATCTGCTAAGCATCTTGGTTCCTGTCTAAGGGACTTAAAAAGAAGGGTTTAAACACTCAACTGGATTATTGGATTCTTTACTGGAGTAGAAGCCAATTTACTATTAAGTAAATAATTTCAAAATACTTTCTAAGCCATTTTAAATTTGATGCTTAGAGATTTGGGTGAACTAAAATTACCAATCTCCTAAAGATTAAAATGGAGTTGTATTCATTGAAATTTACTGTATTATTAATTTCCTGGCATAAGAGATACTCCGTGTGTGCCAACATTCTTTTTTATTTTTCAAATCTCTTTGAGTTTTTATTAGAGTATTTTAGGCCAGGCGTGTTGGCTCACGACTATAATCCTAGCACTCTGGGAGGCCGAGGCAGGAGGATTGCTTGAGCTCAGGAATTTGAGACCAGCTTCAGCAAGAGTGAGACTCTGTCTCTAATAAAAATAGAAAAATTAGTTGTGGTACACGCCTGTAGTCCCAGCTACTTGAGAAGCTGAGATCGAAGGATCGCTTGAGCCCAGGATGACACCACTGCACTCTACCTGGGGCAACAGAGTAAGACTGTGTCTCAAAAAATAGATAAATACATAGAGTATTTTAAAGGAGTCAAATAACATTTTCAAATCATTTTAGATGTACTTTGATACAGAATAGGTAAACAGCAACAGATAACCAATATTAAATATAAATTACAGATCAATCTCAACTTAGGTAAAGCTGCATATCATTATGAAATAAGTTTTGAGTAGTTCTCAGTCAAATGACAATATAGTTTTCTTTCCTTTTGGTTAAAGCTCTCCTCTAGGCCAGGCATGGTGGCTCATGCCTATAATCCTAGCACTCTGGGAGGCTGAGGCAGACGTATCGTTTGAGCTCAAGAGTTCGAGATCAGCCTGAGCAAGAGCGAGACCCCATCTCTACTAAAAATAGAAATTAGCTAGACAACTAAAAATATGTATAGAAAAAATTAGCCGGGCATGGTGGCGAATGCCTGTAGTCCCAGCTACTCGGGAGGCTGACACAGGAGGATCGCTTGAGCCCAGGAGTTTGAGGTTGCTGTGAGCTAGGCTGACACCACAGCACTCTAGCTGGGGCGATAGAGTGAGATTGTCTCAAAAAAAAAAAAAAAAAAAGCTCTCTTTTTGATAAAATTAAATTGTTCTTGAGGAATATAACAGTAGCTAACACTTACTGACCACAAACTTAAAAATAGGGATGTTAGATTTAAAGTCACACAGCTATTAATACTAGAGCTGGATGCCAAACCCACATGAGTTTAGTACCAGAGCCCACTATTTTTACCATTATTGAGATTGTAAAATAAACTGCCAAGTTTAAAAGCTGAAGGACATAACTTTTTTTCAGAAATAAGTATTACTACATAAATTTCAGGTACAAATTAGTTTTTAAAAAAGTAATTACGGCCGGACGCGGTGGCTCACGCCTGTAATCCTAGCACTCTGGGAGGCCGAGGCGGGCAGATTGCTCGAGGTCAGGAGTTCAAAATTAGCCTGAGCAAGAGCAAGACCCCGTCGGATTGCTCGAGGTCAGGAGTTCGAAATTAGCCTGAGCAAGAGCAAGACCCCGTCTCTAATATAAATAGAAAGAAATTAATTGGCCAACTAAAAATACATAGAAAAAAATTAGCCAGGCATGGCGGCGCATGCCTGTAGTCCCAGCTACTCAGGAGGCTGAAGCAGGAGGATCGCTTGAGCCCAGGAGTCTGAGGTTGCTGTGAGCTAGGCTGAAGCCACAGCACTCACTCTAGCCTGGGCAACAAAGCGAGACTCTGTCTCAAAAAAAAAAAAAGTAATTACTACGTAAAGTCCAACTACAAATTAGGCGAGAGAGAAATAGGCGATTGAAATAGATATTGAGTGCTGGTCACTGGGTAAGTGCAGGAGGGGGACGTTAACTGCCTTGGAGGTCAAAGAGGGTTTCCCAGAGGAGGTGGCATGTGAACAGTGTCAGGAAGGTTGGCTGGGAGCCAGTGCTTGGGGAGGGGGTGATGAAGTTGCGTGGAGGTCCCTGGCCGAAGGAGCAGTGTGTACAAAGGCCAGGAAGCAGAGCGGATGGTGTAAACTCTAAATCAAGACTCCTCATTTTTTTTTTTTTTTTTTTGCCTTTAACTTATTTAAGTAAAAAGAACAGAATGTCCAGAGTTCTTAGGAAAGTCTGTGAATCAAAAGTGGCCACATCCCCTGGTGTAATGAAACACTCTGAATTAAGATCAAAGCCTTGGGAATTTATATTTTGTCCATTTCAGCAAATCCCTAG